TCTAGTTCGTGGATCTTGTGTATGTTATTCAATAATAGGATTGATTCATTCGCGAATATTTATAAAATGATAAAAGAAGATTCTTTTCTATCTTTTTTTTTTTTTCGTATAAAGGAATCAAACAAAATATTTATTTCGAAATTGAGAAATGTGAATCTCGTAAAATTCAATTATTCCAAAATATTATAAATCTTCGAATTTGAATAAAGAAATCAAGAAAAAAGCTTGTATCTTTCTTTTTCATTTCGTAAATATACGTGCACGTAAGTGTGTATTATTTCCTTATTTAATTTCTATGTTTTTCTCTCTGTATCAAAAAAAAAAAAAGAGAGCGACGCGTTTGAAAACGGCCAAATAAATTTCAATCGATCGCGTCCACGCGACGTTTGATCTTCCGATTCCTCTGTAGAAAGAGGAAGAGTTTTTAAGTTTACGATCACAGTGACATCGCGTTTACGGGCGCGTTTTACCGTCGCAAAACAAGCAATAAAATCCTACGACGGGTTGTTGGTCCTTCGACGAAGCGACGTCGCGGCGCCTTGGATTCCTCGACCGGAGTTACGCCAATGTCTGTTGAAAACAGACTCTACTTCTTCTTCTACTTCTTCTACCTCTCCTTTTAGAAATCTTTTTCAAAAGGGAAACACTCATGTGAGAGACTGAATCTCGATTTGCATCGAACACACGTGTGGCCCCTCCCCCATCCCATGAAAAAGATAGACGATGTCGATGTTTTATCTTCATATTCATAGATATTATATACATGTGTATACGTATGTGTGTGCACGTGTGTGTGTGCGTGTATATATATTTCTGGAACGATCTTATCCGAAAGAAAAAGTAAAGGGATAGGAATAAGAGAGTAAGATCTCATCGTCGTTAGACGAACCGCCTTTATTTCGCATCGTTAACGCTTTACGGTTGTGTTGCGAGCCAACTTGGTTCGTCGAGCGGTCTTGTCGTCACAATTTTTCACCTTCCTTCCGCTACATTACTTACTCGGACGCGGTAGAACGCCACCGGACTCCGGGATTTATCGTTCCACGTATATTTCATCGAAAGTTACGTTTGTTCAGGCAACTGACCTACTTTATTCCTTCTTTCTCTATTTCCCCCCTTTTTTTATTTTTATTTTCTTACTTATTCTTCTTCTTCTTATTTTCTGCTTTTCCTTTTCTTCGCCGAAAGGCGAATAAACGTCCAGAAAACCACCCCGCTCCCCACCCCCAACTTTGTGTTTTCTTTCTCTTTCTCTTTCTCTCTTTCCCCTTTCGTATTTTCTTCTTTAGTGTTATACATAATATAATATCCCGCGTATAGGAGAACGCAAGGCGGTACACGATCGTACGTTTGGTAGGAAAGGCTGACGCCTTTGGAAATAAACAGGTACGATAAATATTCCGCGAAATCGCTTTCTTTCCCCTCCCACCCCTACCCCTTCACCACCACCCATCCACCCCCGCCTGTAGTTGTAGCAACGTGGGGGTTGTGTTCCTGTAGCTACCTTTAACACACAACCGTAGTAGCAGAGGTAACGTCTCGGGGGTTCCTTCTGCGATTTTACACTCGTTCGTAGCGTTCCAACTTTCCTTAGCGTTAACTCCGGAATCCCGATGCCGCGTGAGCATCCTGGCATTCGTGTAATTAAACCTTAGGGAGGAGTGGACCCTCTTGCAAATAAATTTTCTACAATCGTAAATCCTTCCCCATCTACTACTCTCTCTCTCTCTCTCTGCGTTTTCGGACGAACGCTTATATAATTAGCAATGGTGCTTTTGTAATCGTTACGAGAATTTTCCTATATACATTTCTCTTTTATCTTCGTATAACCTTTTTGATTTAGTGTACACGGCATCTACAAGATACACGCTAAATAAGTAGCATTTTCTTTATCGAATATATAACGCGAATGCACAACCGAAAAAGCATATTTAATCTGCTTGCCCAATAAGTATCTTCTTCCTTCTTTTTATTAGGACTTTGTCCTGTTATAATAGCTTTTCCTATTGCTATTTCTAGAAAGCATTTTATTATTGTTTTTACCGAGGTTAGGTTGCTAGTTTCACCCCTCGAACCCTCCCCTTTTTATCTAGGTTTGGGACCAGCTCTAGATGTTAAAACTAGACGGAAAATTTTGGCGTCAAACACTGGCACATCGCGGTTTTTCCTTAAAAGCGGGTAGGGTCACCCATCCAAGCACTAATCGTGCTCAGCGCTGCTTGACTTTAATAATCGAAGCGAGTACTAGCGCTGCCGCCGCGCTACGGCCGTTGACCACAAGTAATATGTTAAAACATTCAATTGAAATATTACAAAATCGGAACGAATTTCCTCCCGGACACACACACACACACACACAAGTTCAATATTTTCATTTTAATAATTCTTATCTCGATTTGTGTGTTCATTTTGTATTTAATTAGTTAATTGATATTCTTTTTCTTAATGGTTTTACTCGAATTGATTTAATGTAAGATCGATTAATTTGTATAAGACAAGTTTACTTAAGTAAAAAAGTAATGTCTTACTTTTTTCCTCATTCAAGATAAAAGTCTCTGTTTATATAGTTCTTGGATCGATTAGAAAGAGAGAAAGAGGAAGAGAAAGTAGATAGAGAGTCTGTACGAGACAAGCTGAGAAAAGGAGAAACAAATTCAATGAAAAAGTAACGTCTTATTTCTTCTTCTTCTCTTCTTCCACCACGACCTCCTCTTCCTCCTCCACCACCTTCTACCTCTTCTTCTTTTTCTTCTTTTTCCTTTTATCTTTCCCCTATTTTCCTACACTCAGGTATAACACAAGGTTCCGTTCGCAAAATTCCTTTCTCTCTTTGAGTCAGCTGGCGTGGGGCATCCCTTTTCTCTTTTGACAATAATACTCGGATGAAATACTGTGGCGCGATGTTGGATATCTATGTATAGGTAAGTATACATATATATATGTATATAAGAGGGTTGGTGGAGGCTTTTAACGATCCTGTAATCCACAGAGCATAGACAGAAGAAACGCGTTACTTCTTTAGAAGATGGAGAAGAGAGAACAACAACAAAAAATAGTGTGCATAAAGGATAGATAAAGTACCGGTGACATGCGGGGAACAAAGAATAATACTGTTTAATCCGAAAAGGTCGAGATAAAGAAGTCATAAAACGTAGTGTGCGTGACTATAACCTCGAAGAAAATGTATCTACGTGGTTGGTTGGTTGGTTTGTTGGTTGGTAAGAAAGTTTCCAAGACGTGTGTGTAGGTACACCTTGCTGCTCTGTTGTTACCTTCACGTTCGACACGCGTCTAAGGTCGCCTATGTAATTCTGGATGGATCGAAAGGGGGGATAGGAAGGAAGGAAGGTAGGAAGGAAGGAAGGAAGATAGGAAGGGCTCAGGTAAGACTCTTCTTAAGGTCTAAGCACGTACCTTCTCTACGAGCGTACGGATGCCATTACGAGGACGACACCGGGCAATCGAAAAAGTACTATTCCGCGTGGTGGTCACGTTCTTACTTCGAAGTCTTTTATACGCTTGAGAATGTTCGCTATGCACCACTTTCTTACCTGACTCTTCGCAGACAGGTGAATGATTAAGGCAGTTTTTTACTTTTTTCTTTTCTTTTTTCTATTCTAAAGGATTGATTTAAAGGATTGATTTAAAGGATTGATTTAAAGGATTGATTTAAAGGATTGACTGATAGGACATCTACGATTATATTCTTTCTTTTTTTTTTGCTTTTAAATAACATTATATTTATTCATAGATATTTAAAATAACAATAACAGGGTTAATTCGCAAGACAACTCGTATCGTCTTAAAACAAATCTCGTCTCTTCTTTCATCCTACCAATGTCGTAAATCTAATCTACATCGATGCAAATTACACTCTCTCTCTCTTTCTCTCGGATGCGTAAATAATAATCCTAAGGTGAATGGAAATATTCTTCCCGAGCGAGACAAGTTATTTCGAAATAATCGCGACTGCGATAATAATAACGGTAGTTTTCTACTGGACGTAGAACTGTTCTGGGTTCGTCGAAAAAACATTTTAAAAAAATGGAAAGCGCTTTGGCTCTTGGCAGTGACGACATCGTCGAAAGTTATTTTGTAATTTAAACTTCTCTATTTCTATCCTTTTTTCTTTTATCTATTTCTCTCTCATTCTCTCTCTTTTTACATATATATATATGTATACGTATAGATAATAAATATACATACCGTACCGAATTTTTATTTTTTTTCTTACGAAATTCTCTATATTTTTCCCGATTTATATACCAGCATCCGCTTACATTCACGGCTCCGTGCTATCGCAGCTATCTCTTCTTTCCTTTCTTTTTCTCTCTCTCTCTCTGTCTCTCTCTCTCTCTCTCTCTCTCTCTCTTTCGCTTTCTATCTTTTTCTCTTACATTCGAGAGGTAAAGCACGTGCCAGGAAGGTCTATCGATTCTTATCGGTATACTGCGCACCTGTAAGTATCTTACGACATTTCTATAACTTCTATATATTCGTTCGTAAAAAGAATCTAAATCGATTTACGTCGAACCTTATTTTTGATGATTCACTCGTTCGAATATCTTGTTTACAGATCTAAATCGATGAATTAAAATGAATTAAATCGGATTAACTTTTTAGTAACTAATGTGAAAACTTTATCGAAGGGATTGGATAAGAGTATCCATCGTTACTATGAGATGAGGAAGAAGTACCATCATCTAAGGAATTCGATGAGTGACTATCACTGATAAATTCAGTATTCTGAATTTTGTAGGATACACTCGGTGCACCGTAGGAAGTAGTAAGCTTACTACTGTGCTGGAATGAAAGGTCAAGGCCGGAATGTTCCAAGGAAGTTCCGCCAACGTGAGTTGGTTGATTGATCGGAATGTAAGAGTTACTAGGGATCGTACTAATGGGTTTACTAGGTAAGGGGAGAGTAAAATGATGGGAGTGTTCTTGATGTGGGTTGACTGGAGGAGGTACGGGATAAGGTTGAGGTACAGGATGAGGGACTTTGACCGGACTAGGAACGTAGACTGGGACTGGACGATCTACTGGTACAGGGTAAGGTTTCTCAACGACAACCGGAACTGGATGCGGAACGGGGACCTTTACCGGACGCCTCACTTCAACCGGCACGTAGTGCGGAACTGAAACCGGGACGTTACGAATGACCGGTACCGGTTCTGCCACCGGTACGGGAACTTTGACGACGTGGTTCACTATATTGTGTGGTACACTATTCCCGTAACCATGGCCGTTACCATAGCCATACCCGTGTCCGTAGCCGTTTCCCTGGTTCAGGCTTAAGCCGTTCGAGTGTCCACCGAAAACTATTCCGCCTCTGTGAACGTAGCCACCGTGTCCGTGTCCCTGTACCTGTCCCTGTCCGAAATCGAAGCCGTGATCGTTTCCACCATAGTTGTGTTCATTGTATCCGTAAACGTCGGACGTAAAACCACCGGCGTATGTAGAACCGTGTTGCTGCGGGTGATAGAGGCCACGCTTGGCGAGCTTTTTTACAGGAAAGCTTCCGTCTACCAGCCCGCCGGAAACGAGAAACAATGAAAGCTGCAAGTGGAAATTTAATTCAGTCAATACGATTTAAAACTATGCGTTTTCCGCAAGGGGCAGTGCGTTTTCTGCACTTTTTTTTTGCGAAAAACGCCACGCATTCCGCAACCGCACCGAAACTACCGAAATAAAATATTTTTGTGACTTAGCGTTCAATTTCCAATAGGATAGATTGTTACGAACAAATGACTCGAGGGATCGATTTTCCTCATTTGAAAGATTCAAATTACCAGATATATCGAATGTTGTCAAATTTCATTACTCACTAGGTACGTCCTCATGTTGCACATGTTACCGAGAATGCCTGATGATCGAATGTGACTCGTGTCCAACGATTCAACGGTTTTTATACGCGATTGCTACTTTCACTAGATGCTGGGAATCCAAAAACACGCCCTTCAAATTGGACCAAAACCCGTACTAACACCTAAGATCATTGAACTTTTCAACAGATTTTTTGATTGGATAGTCGTAAAGGATTCCCATTGACGGACGCTACTCTCTTCTCGATTACTTTCCTATTTGCTTTCTCAAATTTACCAATCGTTAAACCATCTCCTCCATTTTATTTTCTTTTTGATTCCGATAGGTCAAGTATTACAGGCAAACTATAATTAATATTTATATACGTTGTAATTCACGTAGGATATTAAACTCTTAAAAAGTATCATAAAACATAAAAATATATATCACGTTAATGATTTCATTAATTTAGAAATTGATACGATAGGATGATATTCATGATTTTTAATTAAAACTTTTTATAGATATTACGTTGCACATAAACGAAAATATTATTTTCTAAATGATCGTAAATTAATTCATCATAATATTTAAGTTTCTCGCGTGGGTTATTTTGAAACGAAATTAAACCAACTATAAGTTTTAAGAATATATAATCAAATAATATCGATCAATTATTTATTATTATTATTTGTGTATGCATGTGTGTGTGCGCGCGTGTAAAATATGTCAGAAAAATTTGTATCGTGAGATATATAAGAGTATAAATGTTAAGTTAAATTTATTGGACAGATATAGGTAGCCGTTCTTGAATGAAATGGAAAAAAAAAACAAAAAAAAAAAAGATAAAGAAGATTTTTCGATATGCTGAGATTTCTCGCGACATTCTTCGGATTCTCCGAGGTAACGTTGTACATAACAAGAGCAATCGATCTATGTAACTATCCTAGGGGTTCTTCGATATTTCGTAAAACGTCATTTCCACGTGGCAGGATTGGCTCGATCGTACGAACGCTTTCCCAATTCACAGGAGCGTATAAAATCGAAATATTTTACGATCGCGATCCCCCGTCGGTTCGCTAACTTGTTACTTGCCTCGTGTTACACATTCGAATCGATGTATTCTAGTGGAACGAATATGAGTTTACGTACTTCCCAATTCTATTTTGTCAGTCGGAGAATTCACGATGAATGAACGTACTGTGTGTCGTTGGAAAGCAAACAAGCACGATTGAAGATTATTGTCCGACTTATAAAAGATCCAATCTATGATACAAGTGAAATCGATCATTCGTATGTCTTTGAATAGACATAGTCATATGCAAATAAAAGAAATATCGATTTTAATATAAATTCAACACGGATCGATAAATCGAAAAAAGAAGATTTTTCTTCTAACTTTCTTTTTTAGATACATATACATACTAACATATATATA